AAATGAAATATTTGTTAAAAGTCATCCCCCCCACACACACACCAAAGCTTCACTTTCTCTTTGCCATCTGTACATATCAATCAATCTAGAGGGCATGAAAGTTTTACAAAGCTGGGGGAGTGAGAATCAGTGTGAGACCATCGAAGGCAGACGAAACCCGCTAGCTGTAAATTTACAATATTAAGTTTGCTCAGGGATCATCTTCATATCTACATTTTTGTTATAACCTACTTCATCGATAGAAATTAAATCGTAAAGATTATTTAAGAAAGTCATTCTTTCAGTAATGACAAATGACTATGTTTCAGGAGCTTCCTAGATGCTTGGGTTAAAAGCTCTAGTTAGAGGCTGGGCAGGTTTTTAGACATTGGTGTGCCGTTATATTGCCAGAAGTATACAGGGTGTCTATTTAACTAGGAGACTGAATATCTCTTGATCCTACCTGAGTTTTCAATCAACCTTACTTATACCTCAACCATCTTCACCAAAGATAGTCAAGAGCCTTTACTCTGAGCAAAAAGGGCCAAAGCAGGACTCGGCAAACCTAATCTCATCTTCTTGCACTTGCACTTGGCTTGGGCAGCTGTGTAGCACCTCAGTGCCACCCTCTCATGAGCAGTTGCCATCCTACTAGAACCCCAGGATTTGGACTAATGTCCTACCTACCCCTCTTTTCTGTTGTTAAAGTCATTAGGTAACTGCTGACCTCTTACCCCAAGGCACTGGCCTCTTCTAGAGGTGAAGGGATACTCTCCCAGTCTTCAGTTCTTAGTGTTAGATCACTGCAGCCTAGTGATAAAAAATAGACCTAATTAGTATGTTCACCACTGGATGTCCAGCTTTGTACCACCTCCTTTAATGACACCAATTTGGTGACATGCTTCCTAGAACCCTGAGGTTGCTTCAGTCATGGAAACTCCCTCAGATGAACATTAGAAAAGGTAGTTACTCTCTCCAGCCTTCCTCAGGAAGAGCCATTCCTGCTTTATGGTTCTGCGATTAGGGAGCCCCAGCTCCCTTCTGGCCAAAAGGCTGACACTGTTGTTGAAATGTTGAAGACTGAGAACACATGCTCTGCTGTGCCTGTAGCTAGAGGCTCTTTCCTGGATGGATGTAATCTTGGCATCAGTTAATTGGGGGGAAAAATCTGAGATAGGCCTTGTAATTTCAGCCAGTCTGGGCAAGTGATGGGTACACCTGTCACTTAAGTTAGTGTCTAAGCTACAAGTCCCAGCTGTAGCATGCTTTCAGCATTAGCTGGTAATGTACTGTTCCTGAGGAAAAACAAACCATTCCATGTGGGCAGTGTTTGCCTATTAACCCATAGGACATTTCTTGGGGTCCTTTATTTGTTTGGCTAATAAGGATAATGTTTAAAACCAGTCTGTTACCCTCACCCAGTTTTAATTTACCTTATCATTTGATATAAATGTTCTCCAAAAGCAACATACAGTTTAATAACCGCCCCCCCTCCCCGACGATATATTACCCAGTCTTTCTTAGTGAACACATTGGCATCTCCAGCTAATACAAACAGCAGAAGTCATCTAAAGTCCTGAAAGAAATTGGCTAGATTTAGTTTTTAAAACCAGTCTGCTTTGTATTCTTTGTGAAGTCAGTGACATTCTTTTAATTTGGGGGTGTAATTAAATAGAGACTAATGCAAAGGTCAGATAGGAAATTTTCAAGAAAGTGAGCCGAGGCAACTTTCCCTGTACTGAGTGGCATGCAGAGACCCTGGGATGTGGCTGTAGGTACAGCTAAGGCCTGTAGCTCAGAAAACATGTCCCTTTATCCAACCTCCCGGCTTCTTACAAATGCCTGGTGCTTTTGGGCTGCAGAATTTTCTCCAGTTTGACACTTCCAGAGCTAGGCAGAGACCTCAGAGAGCCACAGTGCTCTCTGGGCCCGACTGGTGTTGGGAAGGCACTGCTACTGGCATCCCAGTAAACTCTGAACACGAGTCCACACAAGGACAGACAGGGACTTCTGCACATCTGCCTTCTAAAGAGCCTTCCTCACTGGAAGGGCTGTGCTTTGTATGCCCTGGGGGAAACAGGTGGAGCTAAAGAATAATTACACATCTTCCAATTTCAAAGTGTGTGAGCAAACACAAAAAGATGAAAAGGTACCTACACCTCTGGATGAATTAAACGTGTGATTAGGTATGTCACATTGATACCTTAATTTGGGGTTTCCTAACAGCAGACAAAGAGAGTGCTGTGGAACTGAAGGACCCCTGGCTCCCATCAGAATCTCAGTGGTCCCAAAGTAGGACTAGTCAAATCATCCACTATTTAAAAATGCATTTTGGTCAGTGAAAACCAAAGATATAAATGTATACCTACAGAGTTACATTATGCTACAAAATATATGTTGCCAGCTTAGGTTTTTAGCTAATCTAGTTCTTAGGATAGGACTAATTTTGAAAAACTGAATACAAGGGCTTGGGGGAGGGATTGTTCAGAATCTGAAAATAGTTAAAAAATAAACATTTGGCAGAAGCTATTTTTTATGAATTTTATTGAGATATGGTATTAGTCTATAACCCAGGCTAGCCTCAAACTCAAACAACTCCTCTTGCCTTAATTTCCCGAGTTCTGGGATTATAGTTATGAGCTGCATGCCCAACTTAGCAAACTTACCTTTGCTGAAGACATTGTATTTTAGCAGAGGGTTTCAACACCCTCTCTTCTCCATGTCAGGATCACATCACCAGTTGCACCAACTTTTACTTTAGAGAAAGTAGCTGTTAGTTGGGAGAACTCTTTGATAGCCTTTCACATCATGCTTTCTGCTAGGCTGGTTCATGGGTATCCTGTGGAAGCCGGCGTGCCCTGGGTGAACGGGGCTGCCTTCTCTTCCTTCTCCATGTTTCTCATGAGTTCTGTGCTTCAGGATTATGCTGCTGAGACCATCCTAGTGGATCTTTCCCTCCTTTATCTAGAGTTAAATTTCAAAGGGAAGTGAGCTCCTATACTCTCCTTCTGGTCCCCTATTTTATAAGTCACAGGGGAGGGGGATTAGGCTTCTGTGGTGTAGACCATGCAGTTTCTCTTACAGGTGGCACTTGCCTATCTGGGTCACAGATAGTCAATAAAGGCTACTAAAATAAAAGTAAATAATAAGATCAAATCAAACCAACTAACCAACCAAACAAAAAACCCACAGGCTCAAAAAAATTGGGTCCCAACCCACTGGCCAGTGCCCCTCTTCATTTGGTTTGAACTAGGCTGAGATTCTATTCTAAGTTAAATTATTTGAGCATTAGCTGATAGATATTAAACAGGGAAGTTTCGTGTACTTAGTTCATTCTTCAGTAGTTGACTTAGACCTTATGAAATGACATTTAAATATCTAATGTCTAATACAGAATGCATGTTTGGAGTTACTTTGTAGTTGAAATACTAACTGGTGGATGTGACATGAAAAAAAAATGTCATGAGTGGTCATGACATTGGATGTTTAAAAACTTTCCAGTTCTAAGTATTAAAGCCCTCTTATGGAGATTAGCCAGGACTAGAAGAGCTTCTTATAATACCTGCCTTCACCTCCAATACGGCTAAAGCTGCAAGTAACGTTTATCTGCAGCAACAGTTCCAGTCATCTGGCTAATTAAAGTGCAGAATGTGCTTTGAAGACAGAATGCATCACTAAGTACTATTATTAAAGCCTTACAGCTAAGGTTTCTGTTTCAGTGAAAGCCTAGTTATTGTTTCCTGGGCTATTAAAATGATATCATAATTGTGTTTTCTCTAGGCTCTTGGAAAGTAGCTTACAGTGACCCCCAACTAATGAAAGGCTCACAAAAACATTCTTGTCCAAAAATTCAGTTACATTATTAAGTATTAATACATTTTTGAAGATTCTAACCTATAGCAATGTTGATAATTCTGAAAGCAGATGAAACATTCTTTCTCAGAAAGAAAGATACAGAAGGGCTGAGGAGCACAAAACTTACAAACCCACAGAGTTCAAACCCCAAGCTTGAAGCCTATGGTTAAAATGTATGTTAGGTGACCCAGTATTTCAGGTTAGGAATGTGTTATTTCAATTTTCTGGCTTTGGCATGAGCCAGGGAGGAGCCTGCATCCTCTCTGCCAATGTATTTTATAGTGTCACTTGGAGCTTTAAGGTTTCTAGAATGTCCATGTGTCCCTGACTCTGATGAGGACACTTTCTAGTGCAGTGTTCCAGGAATTATGTTAATTCGTTTGCTGCACTTTCAAAGCATAAAGGTTAAGTGTTTCCAACTGCAGGGCAATCGATTAAAATCAACTGGTAACTCACAAGTTCTACATTGTGAGTTCCAACTCAGGACGACTTTTGAAAAACAAGGCATATACATAGCTTTCAGGGTTCGGGCAGCTCAATGCTAGGCCGAAACCACAGATGGTGTCAGCTCACCATACCAATTAAATAAAATCTCTTCTTTCACTTTGTGTCAAGTGAAAACAGAAAACTGAACGGACCACAAAGCAGCTTGTGTTTCAGGCTCTTGGTGTCCTTTTGCTTACCTAGAAACCCTTGATACCACCTGCTGCTGTTTATTTACAAAGTAAATGCTTTCTTTATGGATCCCTGGTTAGTCATAATAAAATACAGGCAAAACTTAACAGTTAAAATTAAAAAAAGATTTTCCCCCACAAGAATGTCTAAGTTAGTAGTTGAATGGAGAGAACCCTGACATTGTGTTACATATTTCTAGGACAATGGTATCAATTGTGCCTTGCCTATAACATGTGTCACTGTATGTCATCAGACAGTTCAGTCTTTTTAAAGATTGGGTGTGATATTTATCTAATAGGAGAAGGCCCAGAGACTCTTCATTGCACTCAGTGTATGATTAGGTAGTTATTGTAGAGGCACGGAGGTTGTGTTGGCTACTGTTAACTCCTTACCTTTTAAATACAATGTATCTGTGCTTCGGCACACGGGAAGCAGGAAGGAAGAGGCTTTTGAACAACTGGAGCGGAACCGAAATTTCTGGCCAGGTCCTCTCTCTTTTAAGTCTTTAATTTCACAAATGACAGATGAATCAAATTCAATCAAGAAGTTTTTTGTTGACTGTATGAAGAAGTAAAAGGTAGCTCCCTGTCTTCAGGCCATCACTTGCAGAGCAGGCTGAGGGTTGGGAACTCAAGAGTGACTATCACTCAAGTGCGTCTGGAGCACTTAAATGTTTCTTCTCATCCACTCTGGTTAGGGTAAAAAATAAAATAAATAATTTAAAAAAAGAGTATCAACTTGAGGTAGTAGTTGCTTTGAGTTTTTTGTATTTTTCAAGTGTGTGTTGTGATGAAGAGAGGCCATAATCAGCCATAGATAAGAGGTAACTTTTTGAGGACGCAGAGAAAGTCCGAGACCGAGTACAAGGCAGCAAAAGCCCGTTTGCTAGGTTTAGCTTCCTGTTCTTAATTCCAAGACATCCTTGGCCGCTTTCAATCCCTTTCTGGTGTTCTTTCAAATCCTTTTTTTTTTTTAAAGTGTAGAATGGAGGTAGATTTGTAGCAGCAAGAACCAAGAAAAACAGTGAGTGCACTGTAGCTTTTTATGGTACACCCTTTCTGACTTTTGAGGTGGTAAACTTGAGGGAAGGAATGCCCGAAAACTGCTGAGTGAGTGATCAAGGTGTTTTCCTTTTTTCAAAGATAGAGCTGTCCACAGTAAGTCATTGGAAGCCGCTCACCCTCTCCCCTTCAGGCCCCTGGGTGTATTTGTGTTCAGAGTCTACATCTCTATTTCCTTCTCCCCAGCATCCCAAGTTTCGCGAACTGTGTTCAAAAGTGAAAGGAAGGCTAGCTACGTTGGAAGAGAGTTTATGGTTACTCGGCAGATCTGGGTTTACTGGCGCCCGCCTTGTCCCATTCAGGGAAGGTGCCATGTCTTAGTCTGACCCTCGGCTCTGTCCATCTGGGCACAGGGTGCTTGTGGGCCGAGTATTGAATGAATGAATTAATGGTATCCAAGCAGACCCCGGTGGCAGACCCTCAAGTCCACCCAAGGAAGGTGGTTCAAAATTTTTGACTTAGCCCCGTGCTCTCTACCATATCCTAGCGTGAAGGCCAAGGAGTGGGGCGGGACGCTCGTGAATTTTGAAATAATTCTCCGAAAAGTTCATGTTTGCTAAAGTACTTTTCCCTTTTATCCTAGAGCCCCGCGTGGCGCGTGGCGCCCGAACCTCTCCCACCTAGGACTCCGTGTGCACCACCGCAATCCACCACCGCCATGGCTCTTCTTCTCGGCTGTCGCCTTGCCTGCATAATGCTGCCTGCTTCTTCTATCCATGGTAGTCGGGTATACAGAATACTGCTTGTGAGGAGACCCGAACCCCCTTTTGGGGCATTGCGATTAATTAGCTCGCCGCCACCCACCTCCACGGGCACGCGCCGCAGGGTGGGAGGGGTGTGCCGCCGTCCCCGCGTGCGCTATCTGGGAAGCTGAGGTAAGAGAAGGCGCACATGGGTAAGCGTCGTTGTCATCGTCGCATAGTTTCCACGCTGCCCAGGGCTACACCACTACACGGAAAATTGGGAGGCAGGTTTAGGAGGCGGGGTCGGATGCCCACCGTCTTGGGCGCGCCCGTACCCCTCAGTAGATTGCTCCCCGCGCCCCCTACCCACACTAGAGGTGCCCACACATCTGCCCTAACCCCCCGCCCGCGGCGCAGCCCATTTGGTTACGTCCCCGGTGGGCCGATTTTTCGCGCTTCCCCTTCGCTTTATAGGGGCCATTGCTATGGGTCGGTCCTCTGAAGAGGTTGGGGCGTCATCAGGTTGGTTAGAAAAACCCGCTCCGCGGCGGGGACACTCAGTCGCGTCGGCACCGCGGAGCGGGTTGCTTCAGGTGGCTGGTCCCAGCGGCGCTCGCTAGCTCCCGGCTCTCGGGCTCGGGGCTGCAGCACCGGCTGGAGCGAACCCTTGTCCCAGCGCTTGGCGGCGGCAGGCAGACGGGTAGGCAGGCGCTGCTTTGCGTGTGAGTGCGCCTCACTCACATGTAAGTCCGGGAGCGTGGGGTCTTCCCGCCCAAGTGCGAGGTGCTCGAAGCGGGCAAGAGCACCGGGCAAGAGCCGGGGTAGGGCAGAGGCGCCTGGCGCCGCTGCCCTGCCTCGCGCCTTGCAGGCACCTTCCAATTTGCTCTCTTTTCTCTTTTCTCTTCTTCATTGGCATCCCCAAGAGCTAACCCAAGGAGCACCTAAGGGTAATAGCAAACTCTTGTCATCTGCACCTCTGCACTTTCCTTTCTCTTGTATTATTATTATTATTATTATTATTATTAGTCTTTTCTATACTCTTTTCTCCCCCTTTTGAGTTGTTGGGCAGTTCTTATTTCTTGCTTGCTTTTTGGTTTCTTGCTGTTGTTGGGTGCTTTTTTCTGTTTGTTCTCGCTTTTTTGTTTGCTCATCCTATTTGACGCTAACTCTTAGGCAGCCAGCCCATCAGCCCCCTACGAAGCCCGGGAAGCCTCACTCGGTGACCCCAAGACAGCACAGCGGAGACTGCAGTCGAGACCCCCGACACGGGACGCACAGGAGCCGGGAAGCCCGAGGCCGGGGGCAAGCAAACCGCCCGAGCCAGGCGCGAGCCAAGCTCCCCGAGGTGGCCGGGGCACCATGCTGAAGATGGCCATGAAGCTCAAAGCCCGGGCGGCCGAGAGCGAGAGGAAGACGGCCGCGGCTGCCGCCGAAGTGGCTGCCGAAGCTGCCGTGGCGGCTGCGGTGCTGGGAGAACCGTTCGCTTCGCAGAAGAACGGGGTCCCCGCGAAGCCCCCGAAGTCCGTCAAGGTCCTCTTGAACGCCGGGCGCGATGCGCAGCCCGCAAAGTTGCTGACCGACAAAGAGCGCAAGAAGATGGAGAAGAAGCTGCTGGAGCAGAGGAGAAAGGAGGAGAAGAAGAGAGAGAAAGAGAGGAAGAAGTTGGAGAAGATGATGAAGAAGATGAAGAAGAATGTGCCAGAAGCTCCTGCCAAGCCCCGAGGCCCCGAGGGCAACGCCGCCACCGCCGCAGGCGAAGACGAGGGCGCCGGGCAGGGCGCCGCCGGGCTCGGAGGGGGCGCCGCCACCGGGGGCGCGAGTAGGGCCTGGGCCAGATGGGACAGTGACACCGAGGATGAAGATGATGCCTACTATGCGCCTCCCCGCGTCGGGGGCGTCGTGTGGCGGCCCGGGCCCGCCAAGGCAGGTGCACTCAGCACGCACATGCCCCTCGTGGTGTTCCTGGTGTTCTCGGTGCGCAGCCCCTCGTGGGTGCTCAACTTCCTGCTACAGCGGCGCACGGAGCAGGGCCGTGGCTGCGGCTTCGTGTTCGGGGCGACCTGCTGCTTCAGAGTGTTCCTGGGCTGCGCCTTCTTCTCCTTCCTGAGTGGTCGCGCCAAGCGCAGAGGCCGAGGGCGATCCCGGGCCAGGGGCACCGGGCGCCGGGGGCGCGACGAGCGGCTCATCTAGTTCAGCCCCCCACCCCTCCACCATCATCATCATCATCGCCATCGACCACCACCACCACCACATCAACCAACACCACCACCTCCACCACCACCTCCACCACCATTGCTGTGTAGTGTGGATCTTTATTAGTGCTTGTGTGTGGACACATTTTCCTTTTCGGTTGCTCTGTGCTTTGCTTAGTACTTCCCCAGCTTTTCTAGTAGCTCCTTGCTTTCTGGCTCTCTCAGTGTCTCTCCCTCTCTCTCTCTCTCTCTCTTTTTCGAAATTTTCCTAAGTCCGGGCCCGCACTCCCTCCCTTTCCGCCCACCCCGGCCCCTTGGCGGCGCCTGCCCGCCCTGCTGCTGCAGGAGGAGGGGGATCGGGGGCCGCCCGGCCCGGGGGTGGAGCGCTGGCATCGTGTGAGGGGTCGTCACCACCGCGGGGCCGCCCCCTCTCCCCCCGCCGTACGGCCAGGCCCCGGCCCTGAACTGCGGGAGGGGCTAGGGGGCGACCCCTCGGTGGAGCCGGCCCGGGCCGGACGTGGGTGCTGGGACCCCTGCCCGGCCTCCGGGCACCGCCTCCCGGCGCCCGCGCCCGCCCTCCCTCCCAGCCGCGGCCCTCCTTCTCCTCCTCCTCTTCCCACCCCCCTTGCCGCCGTCGCCTCCGCCTCCCCCCGCTCCCCCGCCCGGCGCTTTTGGGTCGGGGCGGCGGGCCCGGGCCGAGGCAATAAGAGCGGCGGCGGCGGCGGCGGCGGCAGCAGCTCCCGCGGCTCCTGCTCTGCTCCGCCTCGGCTCCGGAGCGAGGGGCGGAGAGCCGCGCGCTTGCCTTAGTCCGAGCCGCCACCCTCCCCGCGTTCCCCGCTTTCCCGGCCCGCCCGAGGCCGCCCGCCCCGTCCCCGCCGCCCCGCAGCCCGGCCGCGCCCCGCCGCCGCCATGGGCTGCCTCGGCAACAGTAAGACCGAGGACCAGCGCAACGAGGAGAAGGCGCAGCGCGAGGCCAACAAAAAGATCGAGAAGCAGCTGCAGAAGGACAAGCAGGTCTACCGGGCCACGCACCGCCTGCTGCTGCTGGGTAAGGGCGGCCCGGGGGGGGAGCGGGCCCGGCCCGGGAGTGCCGCGGGGCGACCCGCAAGGCCGCGCGCGCCGAGCCCGCCCCCCTCCCCGGCGCTCTAGCGCTCGCTCCCAGGCCCTCTGGCCCTCTGGGCCGCGCGCGTGCAGGGGGCGAGGCCGTCAAGGGGACCCCGGGGCGGAATTCGGCCGGGCGGGGGCTGCAAATTGGGCGTGGGGCCCCCTCGCTCGGTCTCGTCCCCTCAGTTGGCCACACTCCCCCCCGTCCATGACTCCGAGTCCGCGCGAGGCCTACTTAGTGCCAGGGGCCAGGGTGCGTGTCGGGAGGGGGAGGGGAGGCCCACAGGGCCCCTCGGACTGCGACAGAGTAGGGCTAGGGACAGGAAACGGGCCGGCGGGCCCAGGGAGGGGGACCCGCCTCACTGGGGTGTGCGATTTGTTGGGAGGGGGCCCGAAGAGAGGCCAAGGCCACTAGGAGGGACTCAGGGACCTCGGCCCGGAGACTCTGGCGAGGGAAGTAGCCGCCGGGGTGGAGGGGCGGGTGACATCAGCCCCTCGGAGAGGACGGGGCGGTAAAGGTGGTGCAGAGGGGGGAGGGGGCGCGGGCAAGTCGTGGCGCCGAAGTGGGGGTGGGTGGGGGAGGGAGCGTGGCGGACTCTGGGCGCGACTCGGGGCGATTCGGGCAGGACCGACTGACTGTGCGCGGAGCAGACGTGTCCTGAGCCAGGCCAGGCCGTGGAAGGAAGAGAAGAAGAATCAAATCGAATAAGATCAAAAAAATGAAAATTAAAAAAAAGTACGCAAAGTGCCCAGTGAAGCCAAATGACACGTCATTTTACAATGTGACCTTTCCCCCCCCTTCTAGACTTACAGGCTTTTTTTTTTTTTTGAAAAGCAAAGAAGTGCATTAAATTGTAGCAGCTGACCCCCCAGCTGAGCCCCCTCCCGAGCAGCAAACAATTAACACACAGGTTTTCCTGTTACTCTGCCTCTTTGGGAGTGGAGACACAAGTGAAAAAAATAAAATCCTGTCTTAAACAGACTCATAAATAAGATAAAACTGGAAAATGACATTTGTCTGTAAATGGCTTCTTGGTTTCGAAATGGCGTTTTTAAAAATTTTTTTTTGTCCTTTTCAAGGTGGGAGGGGGGACTCAGCGCTCTGAGAAGACTCTGGGGTGGAAGCAGATGAAAAGACATTAATTAATTGTTTGGCAAGTGACATTTGGTTGTTTGGGGTTTTTTTCTTCTTCTCTTTTTTTCAGTGCAACTTTTCCTCCTTGGCAAAAAAGAAAAAAAGAAAGAAAAAATGAGGGGGGATCTCAAACTAAAAGGATGCCTCTCCTTCCTTTTTTTAAGGTGCTGGGGTGGGGGCAGCCAAAGCACACAGGCACACACAAAAATTGTTGAAATGACCACAAAAACATCACACAACATTAATTAGAATGGAAGCTTTCCACTTCTTGGTATCTTTTGGCTATCTGAATAAATTTGTGAATTCACTGGTAGCAGGGTCACTTTTCAACAAAATAGTTTAATTATCAAAAATAAAGTGTAGAAGGCTGTGTTAATTCGCGGTGGCGTTTTTTGGTTTGATCTTTTTGGATGGGGTCAAGTCTTTGTTCTCCATGGATTTAGTAAAGCAGAAAATTATTAATAAGTGAAAATAGTCCTATTGGTATTGGTGCATTTGCAATTTCAGTAATTAGATGATATATGGGAAACTTCTAAAAGCATAATT